GCACGCACGCACGCACGCACGCACGCACGCACGCACGCACGCACGCACGCCGCACGCACGCACGCACGCACGCACGCACGCACGCACACACACACACACACACACACACACACACACACGCACACGCACACCCGCACCCGCACCCGCACACACGCACACGCACACGCACACGCACACGCACACGCACACGCACACGCACACGCACACGCACACGCACACGCACACGCACACGCACACGCACACGCACACGCACACGCACACGCACACGCACACGCACACGCACACGCACACGCACACGCACACGCACACACACACACACACACGCACACGCACGCACGCACGCACGCACGCACGCACGCACGCACGCACGCACGCACACACCCCTTGGAAGGCAGCGGGCGCAGGCGAGCCGGAGCAGGTGCAGGCGCCGGTCGGGCTACGGGCGTGACGCGGGGCACGGCGGAACGCGGAGAGAGCAGATGGGGAGGAGAGGGCACAACCGCTCCGATCGTGCAGACCGTCGCGGGCAGGAGGCCGAAACAGGAGAAGGAGAAGCACCCCCGCGGGCCGCCGTCGAGTCGCGACCAGCCCTCCTCCGATCCCTGCCCGCCGCCCTCTCGGGCCTGTGGTTGAGAGATGGGGCCCTGAGCGGTGGGGTCCGAAGGATAGGACGGGATCCAAACGGGATTTTTCGAGGCACCTTGTCCTCTGGACCTTTGTGGGCCCCGGAAACGGCAGGGCCGTTTTTTCACCTTTTCCAAAACATGTCCATTGAAAATGGAAACGGCAAGAAAACGGCGACCGGAAACGGCAAAAAACGGCTCCAGGATTGGAACCGGAGCCGGAACTGGTCAAATCACGGCGACGGAATCGGTAGACAAAAACGGCGCCGGAACCGGCAACAAAAACGGCAAAACGGAGCCGGTAAATAAACGGCCCTGTCGTTTCCAGGGCCTGCTAAGCTGGACCCCATCCCTCAGGACCCCATCTCTGGACCGCCGAGCGGGGGCATGGGTCGGGAGTGGACAGAACCCCCAACAGTGACACGTCGATTAGTGAATTGCCGTTTTCGGTTCTCGAGAGGGCGCCGTGGCCGTTATTTCCCAGGCTTGCGCACCCCAGGTTTGGGCCTCAGGTCGTTTTCACTAAACCACGTTTTACTAAAGGGAGGTCTGTCCATCCCCGAATGGGGCGGCGGCGGACCTGCTCTACAAGCGGCACGGGAGGCGCTGGGACGGCGAGCAGGGCCGCAGCCCGCGGCGCGAGGAGCACCTCCCGGAGAGGCCCGCGGGCGCGGAGCGCGCGGCCGGCCGGCGCGCGGGGCCGTGCAGTGGTCGGAAGCCCGCAGCCTGCGGGGGTTGCTCTCGGAGTGCCCCCTCGAGCCATGACAACAGTCACGACGGCCGGTGCTTCTCTCTTCTCCTCCCTCCTCTCAGAGCGTGAATTACCTCCCCCGCTTTCGCTTCCAGGCAAAACCAAGCCACACCACGCGCCTCCTCGTCAAGCGGCCTGACCAGTACAGGCCGCAATTTGGCATCGTTTGGTATCTCTTGGAAGCGAGGGTGGTCAAAAGCGAGGTAGGTTTGTTTTCCCCCGATCCTCTTCTCTGCCTAATTCAAGCTTCGCGCGGCCCGCTTAGCTTCGACCGGAAGAGGTGCGCTCTCGACCCGCGGATTAAAAAAAAGCGGTGTTTCTCTATGTTCAGCCTTCCGGAGCCCTTCTACCGGGCCTCGGGGCTTCAGCAAAGCGACTCGGGCTGAAAAACCGGTCCTATGGGGAACGGGTCGAGGCCTTCGAGGCCGACGTTGCGAAACAAATCACGACGTCGGGGGTATGGGGAGGTGCCCCTGGCCCAAGGTGCCCCCAGCTTTGCGCTTTCCTTTGGGGAGCACCAGGGCCCCTCTGGCAGGGCCCCGTGGGGGTGTGCCCTGGAGGCCGTGGGGGCCTCCTCGAAGATCCTGGGGGCGCCTCGGGCCTTGGGGCGCCTCGGGCCGGGGGCACTTCTGTCGGGTATAGCCAGGACCCCGGGTAAGGGGACCCGGTTAGTGGCAGGGCCCTGGGGCCCCTCAATATTGGCCAGGTTCACTAACCCAGGTTTGCCGTAACTGGTGTTTTTCGGGTGACAGCAGTTCCGGATAGCGGAACGGGGCGGGAGGGGGCGCCACCGTTACAGTCGGGGCCCTGAAGAAGGAACCCTTTTCGTTGGGGAGGGGCTCCGCGTTCCTTAAATGTTTCACAGCTTGCCTCAGGCTGTCCTCATGTTTTCGACCGGAAATCGAAGGGTCACTTGTGGAAACAAGGGGCCTCGTTCCTTATACTTAGGGTTCCTTAGGTCAACGCCCCGACTGTACACATCGCTAAGCCAGGTTCCACTAACCCCAGGAAGCATTTAAGACCCCCCCCCCTCCAGCAAATCGATAACCCTTCCGCACCATCATCCATATCCGCATCATCATCATCATCATCATCATCATCATCATCATCATCATCATCATCATCATCATCATCATCATCATATCATCATCATCATCATCATCATCATCATCATCATCATCATCATCATCATCATCATCATCATCATCATCATCATCATCATCGTGTCCGGGTGCTACAGCTATCGTTCGGTTATTTCGGCCCCTCGGAATATCGAATAAAAAATGCGGTGCTACGATATCGCCGGGGGGGTTCTTAAATGCCTCCTGGGGTTACACCCAGCCCTGCCAGCGCCCGATTCTCGACAGCACCCGGACGGGGCGTCGCCATGAGCCAGCGCGCTCGAGCCTCGGCGGCGGCGAGTCGTTTTTTGACGGTCCCGAGGCCCGGTAAGGGCCCCCAGAGGCCGAAAAGCCTCCCGTCGTGATTTTTTCATTGCTCGAGGGGGTCTGGGGACACATCGCTAAGCCAGGTTCCACGAACCCAGCCCTGCCAGCGCCCGATTCTCGACAGCACCCTGGCGGGGCGTCGCCATGAGCCAGCGCGCCCGAGCCTCGGCGGCGGCGCCGCCGGGCCCTGCCCTCGCCGCGGGACGGGGCGGGCAGCCCGAGGGGCGGCGGGGGGGAGGGCGCGGCGCTCGCCGAAGACACGGCGGGGGGTGCGGGCCCCACCCTGTCGGGAGCGAAAGAAGGACGTCCCCTCCTCCTCCTCCTCCTCCTCCTCCTCCTCCTCCAACTCCTCCTCCTCCTCCTCCTCCTCCTCCTCCTCCTCCTCCTGCTCCTCCTCCTCCTCCTCCTCCTTCCTCCCCCCCCTCCTCCTCCTCCTCCTCCTCCTCCTCTTCCTCCTCCTCCTCCTCCTCCTCCTCCTCCTCCTCCTCCTCCTCCTCCTCCTCCTGACCCAGACCCCCTCGAGCAATGAAAAAATCACGACGGGAGGATTTTCGCCGTTTTCGGCCTCTGGGGGCCCTTGCCGGGCCTCGGGACCGTCAAAAAACGACTCGGGATGAAAAGCCGGTCCCGGGGAATAGGTCGAAACCTCTGGGGGCCGACGTCATGAAAAAGTCATGACGTCGGGGGTCTGGGGACGTACACGTACATGAATCCACGCTGGTTTCGAGAGTACGCACTGCGCAAATGTTCCTATAACGCGGCCGGTCTCGCAGATCGAGGGGCCGTGTTCATGTACATAGCTGGGTGCGTGTGCGTCCTTTCTGGGCTCCCTAACCCTGGAGGTTCCCCGATCAGAGCTTGCCTCTGTAGGAGTCCTATAGCGGATGCAGATGGTTAGGTTTGTCGCCGGTTTTCGCTGCACGCCCGGGTGCCCGGGTGCCCGGGGGGGCCCGGGGCCCGGGGGCCCGGGGGGTGCCGGGGGGGGGGGGCCCGCGTGCCCGGGTGCCCGGGCGTGCCCGGGGGTGCCATATAGCCCTATAGCCCTAAGCCCTATAGCCCTCTAGCCCCATAGCCCAATAGCCCTATAGCCCTATAGCCCTACAACTCTATAGCCCTAAGTTCTATAGCCCTATAGCTCAATAGCCCTATATCCCCCTAGCCCTATAGCCCTGATTGGGTTTTTTCTCCGGTATCATATGTATATTTGGATTCCCTGATCCCAATCTACCTGAAGCGCCTTCCTACTGCAATCATCGAGTGGCTTAACCTTTTCCGTCCTCCCAAGGGGTCGGGCGGAACCCAATCTACGTTCCACACCTTCCTGCCTCATTTCTTCTACCCATCGAAGGTTGATAGACCTCCTACCCTGACGCGTCGATTACTGAATTGGCCGTTTTCGGTTCGCGGGAGGGCGTCACGGCTCGTCATTTTTGCGGGTCCAGGTCCGTCGGTTTCGGTCCCAGCCCTTCTTCACTAAAGGGTGGTTTGCTAAAGTGAGGTTTGTCCACCGCAGAACCTACTTCTTCCGATTGCTGGGTGCCCCCGCTTCCAATCGGTTCGCGGGGATCGATGGTTGGTGGGGGTGGGGTCCGGATGTCGCCACCTGGGCATGGCCACTGCTCCAGGCTCGGCCCATCCCGGGCCCGCGAGCGGTGCAGCAGATGCTTCCCTGGCCAAGCCTGGAGGACGTATCTACCGCTCCTGGGCCCAGCATGTCACCACCCACCGAACCACCCCAACCCAACCCGAAGGCCTCAATTTGCCCTCCATTTCCAGTGTGGGGGGGGGTGTCGGGGAACAGTGAGAAAACACATGGGACCCGTACACCCCCCCCCAACCCGAACTTCGGGCCTTCGGGTTGGGTTGGGGTGGTCTGGTAGGTAGGCATCATGGGCCAGGACTGGGGCAGTGGATATGTACACGGCAGGTTCGCGCCGTGTCGACAGGCGGCGACCCCAGCGCGCGTGTTCAGGGTTGAACGCCGCCCGTGGCCCAGAATCGGCCCGTCGTTGCACGATCCAGCGTTCATGGAACGGCAGATCGTTCAAGTTTGAACGATCCCCGCGGTGTCAGGAACCACCGCTGGGGTCGTCACGACGCCAACCTGTCGTAGATCCTGTCGCTCTACAGCAGGCCAGCGCGCTCGAAAGGGGCACGCTAAGGAGGAAGACGGAGATGGGCAGCAGTTCCTTGCCATTCTGAGCAAGGCTCGCCGCGGACTAGGTTTGCTGGAGGCACAAAAGACGTCGCCTGCCCAACAGCGGCCGTTGGTGGCTTCGGCCGCCATTGCCGCCATTTGCGGTTGGAAGACGTGCGCAACTTTGTCCGTGCCCACTTCGGGCGTGCCACATGAAGGAAACCCAGCTTTCGACAGTGTTGAACAACCCAGACGTCGATTTCAGCCCCCCAGGTGCCTTCGCCAGGCCCCGGGACCGTCAAAGGACGGCTCCGGATGAGAAGCTGCCCCTGGGGAGGCGGATCGGAGCTTCTGGGGCTCCCGGATTGGGACAAGTCATGCCGCTGCATCGCTGGGACGAGGTCCTGGGGGAAGCGGCTCCTGCAACGTGTCGTGCCGCTTTCGCCCTCCAGCGGCCCTCCCTGGGCCCCAGGATGGGAACAAGTCGTGGCACCGGATCGTTGGGACGAGGTCCTGGGGTTAAGTCGGGCCTGTCCCTCGACAGGGGGAATCTTCCAAAAATAGGTAAGGCATAGTCAGGCGACGTGTTTTTTTGTTTTTACGTGAAAAAATATGTTGGAACATTTTTGTGAACTTTTATTTGTCATTCCAAATCCCCCTGTAGGGGGACATGGCCCGACCTACGCCTGGGGGGAGCGGCTCCTGAGGAGAGCGGCGGGCCCTGCCGCCCTTAGCCTCCCGGGGCCCTTGTCCCTTGGGCTCTCGGGCATGTCTCGGGGGCACCCCCCACACGGGGTGGTGACCACACCGTGCGGTGCGTCGGTGGGGCTTCGGGGTCACCGCACGGCTTTGGGACTCTGGTCGTTCTCCGAGGACGTCTCGGGCGACTGGGGCAGCGGAGGTCCCAAGACCGTGCGGCGACGGACCGTGCGGTGAGGTCTTGGGGGATTTAGAGGTCACCGCACGGTCTGTCACCGCACCGTTTCGGGACTCCCAGTTGTTCTTTGACCAAGGAATGCCGACGACACCACCCCACCTGCGGCCCTCCATGTTCGGGTTGACCCAAAAGGGGGTCCAGCGACAAGAGGGTGGTGCAATAGATTTGGTGCAACAGATTTGTGGGGCTGCTATATATACATGTATACAGATATGGAACATGTACAAGACATTCCGGGGCGCACATGTCTTGCTGTAGTTTCGCGTGCAGTGCATTGCACTACCATTCTCCGGCGCAGTACATTTGCAATACGCTTGCCCCAAATCTATTGCACCACCCCCTTTCAGCTGGACGCTCTTTTGGGCCACCCAAAGTCTGTGACCAAGGAAAGCAGACGACACCACCCCACCTGCGGCCCTCCATGTG